CGCTACGTACGTTTGCCACGTGGGCCACTCAGCAGAACAATGCCACAGAGTGGCAATAAAGGGCCAAAAGCAGCCGGAAAGAATTGCTCAGTAATTTAATTTAAGCATGCGGATTGCTCGACTTGCCCAAAACGGGAAGCGTCAGTTAGTGGCGCGTGCTCCATAAGCCCAAATGTCAATATTTGCCTATGCCAGGCATTAAACGCGCCAAAGCATGTGCCTCATAGTATGTGTTTGGCATGTGTGTGCTGGGGTATGTGTGTGTTGGGCTGTGCTGAACGGACATTTAAAATATGTTTTCTTCTGGTGCCCCCCTTTTTGGCCATGCAGCTGCATATCTATGGCCAGAACCCCCGGCGAGAACGGAAATTAGCAAACGATTTTAGCTGCGGAACATGGAGGCCGCATGGAAATTTTTGGCAACGAGACAACGCGACGTATGCGTGTTATTTGATTTTTCACACACACATTCCATTTTGTTTTTTTTTTTTATTTATTTTACCATACCATATTCCTTAACAATTTCCTGTTATAAACAAATCAAGGATGTAATAACGCAGCTCAATGCGCGCACTTTGACTGAAAAAGAGGGAGTTCTGCGCCCCGCCCACAATGTGATTGAAAATAAATGCCAATGATTATGATCTTAAGAGCTGTCGCAGTCGGTAATAGCCGAGAAAATGCTGCATAGGCAAAAGCCCAACGGCTGCGCCCATTAGTTCAGTTCGCTACGAAAAATGTAGAAAAATATTCAGAATGGAGAGAAAAGGCTATCACACACACACACACACACACACACGCGCGCGCGCAAGTTGGGACGCAGTTTGATGGCATGTAAAAGTACGACAAGAATAACAACAAGGACAGACTTAAAGCAAAGCCAGTCAAGTGTATGAAATGTAACAAAGACCTAAAGCAAAATTACAAACAAACACACACACACCCACACACACACAGTCGCACACACTCGAATGCCACTCACACGTACTGAAAAAAATAATGAGAAAATATCAAAAGTGTGTGCCCGTCCACTTTTGATATTTTCTGCTCAGCCCCGCGGGGCTGAATGTCAACTTAAAGCCCTTGCACAACTGCCGCTGGCCAACCAGCCGTGGCCGAGGCCTGGTTGGCTGGTTGGCTGCTTGGCTTTCCACTTGGTTTTGTTTTCTTTAAAGTACCCTAGCCGGCGCAAAACCGACGCTAATGAGCTACTTAGGCGATGACTTAAGTCATTATTGCGTGTGCGTGTGCGTGTGCGTTTACACATCGTGACATTACACATACGCAACGTTGCTTTGGCCACAATTTGTGGCAAATTTTCAGCTGACAAGAACTGCTAACAGAAAAGTTGCCATTCCTGTCAATGCCAACAAGAATTCTCTGCTGTTTCGCAGCACTTAAATGCACAGCCAGTCTTAAAGTGCAGACTGTCCTGCTTCTCTGCTTCTGTTTCTGCCATTGTCCTATGCTGTACATTGTGGCTGCTTCGGCCCAAATATGCCATATAATATTCGATTTATATTTCAATAAAGTGCTTGTGTAAAGGCTTACAATAATCAGGGTCCTTTTGTGGCAAAGAAGCTGCCTGGGATCGTTCACTTTGTTTGCATAGTGCAGTAAATTATCTGCTTAAGCGCAATTTTTTGTTGGGCATTGAATTCGTTAAATTGGCCCGTGGCTAAATTGCAATCATTAGCCAGTCGACGAACAATGGCTGCTGATTTACAGGGGCCAAGAAGCGCTGCGGGACTCATTAGGCCAGCGACAACCCAAAAATAACACAGCAGCCGGATGGGGTCACACACACGTACAGTACACACACAGGCGCACGCACACACACGAAGAGGCTGACAGACACATGCGTAATTACCAACACCTCATTAGACAAATGCTGAAACTTTGCTTTAATCAGCAGCCGCCAATTCAGAGTGAAAACTTTCAACAGTTGCCCCATCAGAGCTGGCTGCCAATTAAATGTGTCTATCACAATGTTTACACAGGCCAAACACGACTACAAAAGCCGATTGGACCTCCAGGCGGGGGGAAAGGAGGGGCGGCATGGAGATAGTTTGTCAGCTGAAAAGCCTTTCAGCTGACAGTCAAAATCATCGACATAATTCTCTAAAATGTGATTTTATTAATTAAATGCGACAGTCTAGTGTCACACCAGCGACACAGGGCACAGGGCACAGGGCGTGGCTTCCAGTTGCCGCCCAGTTGCCCACTCGCCGCTTTTCTCTTGCGGCTTGCGTTGCGGTTCAATGTGCTGCGAATGCCAACGCTGTCGACTGCGCACAACAATTTTAAACATGTCAACATGGTGTCATAATTAAAATGTTCAGCCAGGCCATGACTGTGTGGGTGTGTGTGTGTGTGTGTGCGAGTGTGTGTGTGTGTGTATTTGTAGTTGCTTGTGCGCTGTTCGATTCGCTTGCAAATTGGAGCCTTAAATTCGCGACCCCACACGGGATCCACGCCCGAAGGCGTTGCCTTTGTAAATGTCGACGCTATTGTTTGCCTTTATGTTGGGCGGCATTTTTAATGATGGGGCTGCGTCGGGGTCGCGGTCGGGGTCGGTGCATGAGCCATGGGACCAGCCCCGCTCCTCCTCCGGGTACTGGAAATTCTGGCATTCTGTTGCGGCGGGGTCACTTCGGGCTGCCGGTTAGCTGATTGGTTTTGCGATTGGTGCTCAGCCACATTTTGGAAGCCATTTGTTCAGGGGTTATAACGACTATGCCGTTAATTGCTCTCCTCGCGCTCTGTGAATGTCAAGCCCTGGGCATATTACATTTAGAAGCATAATAAGCAGTTGAGTTGGCTGAGAAAAAAAAAAGCAACGATTAGAGCACAGCTCAAGCCTATATATTAGAATTGTTTAAAAATGGCGCTTAGAAAGGGCTTATGCGTAGAGTTTTGAATATTTTCTATAAGGCAAAGACTTTAAAGCAATTTAATTATTTAAATCTATAAATGAATATGTAAATATAGCTTCATCAGATCATAGATGCCAGCGCAGGAATACAAATTAATTCTAATATGTATCTGCAAACAGTTTTGGTAATAAGATCAATTATTTTGATTTATTAGACATAGTTAAAATATTTAATATACTTAATGATCTATCTGTATATTAAATATTAAATTGAAAGGATGATTTGGTATAAAATTTATATTATTCTATTAGGGTATTTAAAGCAGGGGCAGCTTTTTGACTGTGTTCATATTTGTATTAAAAATTCTAAACTAAACACATTTTAAGTAAAATGTATAAACGCTTCCTATTTTCAGTTATTTCCCTTAAAATAAATTCAAGTTATTTTTCAAAATTATTATTTACAGCTAAAGTTGTTTATTTATTTGTAGACTTTAAAGCAAATCGTTTTATTTTCGGTTCGAATATCTATTTATCTTAATTTAGCCCATTTCCCTTGTTTTATAAACACTATTTTGGATACATTTACTGCTAAAGTGCTGTGGCCCTTAAATTTACAGCATGTTTGGCAGCAAAAAAATAAATATATGTATATATATATATGTGGAGAAAAACTGTTAGCCAAGTGACCTACTGGCCAGCAGTTGGCTGCACGTTATCCTGACCACTTAGTCTTGATTAATGTGTCGCATTTTCCGGCAGAGCCTCAGAGCCTGGTGCCCGGCTCATGCACCCGTAAATAACAGACACCCGCTCTCCGCCGACCCCCGATCTGCGCTCCTCCTAGAAAATGGGTTGGCTTTATTGTCTCAAGGTTAATTTGTATGGGAAAACTTACGCAACCATTCCGAACTATTATTACTTTTCTCTTTGATGATGTACTTCTCTTTATTTTAATATGTGTTATTTATTTTTCTTTTTTTGCCAAACGTCGCGCATGAAAAATTAATCAAAACTCTGTAGATGTTGCGTTACAGGATATTCTCAAATTTCGCGGCAAACTGGCGACTGCCTCTGCATTTATTATGGATGCAATAAATATTTCTGCAGTTTATCTCGACAAAGGGCGGCATATGTGAGTGTGTGTGTGTGTGTGTGCGAGTGTGTGGTTAAAATAAAATCAATTTTACTTAAAGCACCTGTAGCCCGTTTGGAATTTAACAACTTTTTGATGCATTTGAGCATCGCTTCAAACTTGAATTCTTTTGCACAGCGGCTGCCGCAGCCATCACTCAATCATTTACTGACACATTGATTGAATGCCACGCCCTGCAGCTCAGCTGTGTCCATATGTGTGTGTGTGTGTTTGTGTGTGCTTGACCTGCCCCCGATCCGCACTTCGCGCTACGCTCGCCGCTTCTCCCTGATGAATACTCCCAAGTCTTTGGTAAAATTTAAAGCATTTTTGAAAGTGAGCAGCGACAACATGAACTCGGCAAAATTTGCCTTGTGGCTGTCAAGGAATCTCTCCTGTGAATTTTCCAGCTAGCTTGTTCGCATTCATAATGTGGGCAAGTATGCGCGCGTGTGTGTGCGTCTGTGTGTGGCAACGAAAATGTAAATGTTTGCAAGCATTTACATTGGAGACAAGGACTGGCAGAGACAGGGACCCGCATGATAACACGCATATCTTGATGGGTTATTGCCTAGTTTTTGGGACTGCCTCGAAGCGAGCCATTCCCATGAATCAGTGGGCGGCAGCCAAATTAGAAACAGACACAAACACACATACAGGCACCGAGGGTAAAGTAAAAGTCATATGCATAAATATTTGTGGGCTTAGTCGGGCCCTGACTTTACGACGCGCCAAGGCATTTGCCCAGAGAATCCAATAACAATGCGCATCCAAATGGCCCGACAATTGTGCTAGCCCCACGATAAATTTGCATAGAGTTTGCTGTGCGAGTGTGTGCGTGTGTGTGTGTGTGTGTTGTGTTGTGCATTTGCATAGATTTCGCGTGGAAGCGGTTTATTGTTTGCAAATACGTAAATTGGCGAGTGGCATGCCGTCAATTGCCGGCAATTGGCATCAATTTCACAAGTTTCTCAAGTGCAACACACTTACCTCGCACTTTGGCAGCGGACCCTCGGGCATCTTGACCTTCCAGCCGAGCAGCGGCGGAATGCATATCAGTGCCGACATAATCCACACTGCGGTGATCATGACAGCGGCACGGGCGGGTGTGCGCGATTTCAGATAGTCAACGGCCTTGGTGATGCTCCAGTAGCGATCCAGCGAGATGAGGCACAGATTCATAATGGACGCGGTGCAGAGCAGCACATCCATGGCCGAGTGTATGTCGCACCACCAGCTACCGAAAATCCAGTAGCCCATCAGCTCGTTGGCCAGCGAGAAGGGCATTATGATAAGGCCCAAAAAGAAATCGGCCACGGCCAGCGAGGCAATGAACCAGTTCTGTATGTTCTTCAGCGATTTCTCTGTGGCAATGGCAATGATCACCAGCATATTGCCCACCACAATGATGATCATCAGTATGGTCACAATGATCGAGGCGATCACAATGTGCGTCAGCGTATATCCGCTCGGATAGCGTCCATCCCAGTGCAGCTCCGTTGCATTGCTGCCGTTACCCAACAGACCCAGGCTCAGATTGGCCGGCGTCTGATTGTAATAGCTGCCCGCCAGCTGCAGGCTGCTGTTGTACAAGCTGCCATTTAGCAGATAGATCGTGTCATTCACCGACGGCGTCAGATCGAGCAGCCCGTCGACGGTTACCAGCGGCGGATTGAGTGTGCCACCTGGTTGTCCGTTTGGCAGCGGCGATGTTGTTGTTGTTGTGGTTGGGACAGCGCTTGTGAATACCGCCAGAAATTCATCGGTGCTTATGTTGCCCGTATTGATGATCGGATCCACCTTGGCGTAGTCCATGTTGTTGCTGTGTCTATCTCTGTCTAGCGTCGGATTGGTCCCATGCTGGCGCTGCCCGCCTCGCTTGGTTATATATTTATAAGTATATATATATCGTATATATATTTACAATTAAGTTAGAAAATGCGGCCGGCTATTTTGCAATTCGTTTGCGCGCGTTTAGTATTTATTGCTCTAACACCCAATTAATTCTAATAATTTATCTAATGCCTAGCATAGTTTTGTGATTCGTAATAATTCGATTATGTTTTCTTACCCGTTTTGCACCGAAACTTGTGTGTTTTGTGGCTCGCGCGACTTTTGATTAATTTACTTTGAATTATTTAAGATTTAATTTTTTTTTTTTTTGTTTATGGTATTTTTGTGCACAGACACGGATACAGATACAATTACATATAGAGAGAATCACACAGACAGATAAAACGAATACTATGGAAAAAGATTGCCCGCATTAATATTGACTATATACAATAGGGACTCATCGCCTGGGCGGCACCAGAACCCCACGCTCGATATCGCGATCTCGATCTCGTTCCCATCGATCGGCCCGATCACATTGCGCTAACGCCTCGCTTTAGCCGCATCATTCCACGAACTGGCGGTATTTTGCTTTGTTTTTAATGTTTTTTTTTTTTTTTTTGGTATTTGCACTTGATCAACAGTCTGAATATCTTTGCTAATGAAATGTATCTTTGGTTCGTGTCTCTGTTTGTTTATTTACAATTATATCTAGACGGTTGCTAGCTCGACTCGCGCGCCTCACTAAATACTACACTCAATCGGGCGTGGGCATTTCTTGACTCGTTTTGGCGCTGCCTTGGCTCTAAATAAATGTGTTTGCTTCTTTTGATTTCCCTTTTCTTTTTTTTTTTTTGGCTATTGGTCCAGCTGACGCGCCCGCGACACGTTCGCACCGCTGGAAATGCACATCTTAACTGAATGGCCCAAACATTTGCTACCAAAATTGTCTTCCACACACGCAGCCTCTGCTGCTGCTGCTGCTGGTGCTTGCTTCGGCATTGGCATCGGCATCGGCATCGGCATCGGGCGCCTGCTTCGTGTGCTACGCTCTTCGGCATGTTCCACTTCAGGGGGAAATTTGCTCGCAGGGAAATTATCTCTTGCTTCTTTTGCGTTTCATTCTCAATGCGTTTCAACTGAGTTTGTTTTCGTTGAGTGCGTGTGTGTTTGTGTTTGCGTTCCCCAAACCTAAAAGTGAACCCAAACCTAAATCTAAAACCCAACCCGAATCCATTTGTTGCAGCACTTTTCACGTTTTTCATTTCGCTGTTGCACCCCAAAGGACGTGTATGTGTGTGTGTGTGTGTGTGTGTGTGTGTGTGCTTGGTACAAATGTTGGCCCCGGCCAACGAGGCCCATGTGTGCGATGCGGCCTTTTTGTTTACATTTTTTATTTCAACCCACATAGCTGGCTGTGTTTTCACGGCAAATGCTGGCCGGACTCACCTTTTAAATACTTCTCACGATTTGCACCCTGTTAAAGTTGCGCCCCAACTGTGCCAATAAAGCCATTAAAAGGCGTGCGGGCTCCTACAATACATAGGCCTTTTGCTTATATACAAAGAACTATATAGATTAAGTCTTACATATATATATATATATATATCTAGACTTATGTGCCGCCGTATCACGCACATTATGCTCTATAGTCACGTAGCTGGGGCACATAATTGAAAAGCCAACTTGAGCGTATCAATCGTGCAACCAAACAGGTTGTTGCGCTATCTTCTGCTCCTGTTGTTGGTGTTGTTGTTATTTCTGCTGTTGGTAGCAATGAAATCAGCTAGAAATTATTATGATAATGAAAAGTTGAGCGCACACTCAGCTCGCCTGGAAGTTTCTTATGAGCTGTTGCTGCTCTGCGAAGTATGCAGCATGTACGCGCTGCGTTTGAGTTATTCGAGTTATTTGATTACGTTAAGCATACGCCGTGCTGCCGCCGCGCATAATTTCAAATTACACGCAGCAGAGCGGCATCAACATAATAAATCTGAAAAGGGGCCCTAGACTGACAAACAAGCAGCGTGTGAGCTGCTTCTGCTACGGCAGCAACTTATTTGCCGTGACGGCCACACACACACACACACACACACACACACATGCATATTCGTTCATAGTGAAGTGACAAATGCCGGAAAGACTAAGCAACTGAAAGAGCAACAACCGGCAGACACTCAGCGTCAATGCCTGACAGAAGATTACTTGTCAAGCGCTGATTATATTAACTGCCTATGAAAGTAAGGCACACACACACATGCTTGGCATACACGACATACAAGTATGTGCAAAGCCAATCAATGGCACACACACACACACACACACATGCACAACATGCGGCCACACTGCCTGGCAGCTTCAAATTGCGCATACGCCGCATAAACCTTAACCAACGGGTTTTAGCCAGTCGGACTGCATAGATAATGCGCAAATCTCTCAAATGCGCATACATTAAATCATACACATACATGTGTGCATGCGTATGCGTACGCATGCGACACATGTCTGCATGCGTATGTGTACGCATGCTGTTGCATGTCGCGCTGCAGCTGCAGCACGCACATTGCAGCCGCTAATGGGAACAGCGTCTTTCCGTCTTAGGGCAACGTCTGCACTGGGCTAAATCTGATTTTAATTCGCCGCACGTTTTGCATAATGAAATCGGATTTGTGGGTCCACGTAAACTGCAGCTAAAAACGGGGCGTGGCCTTAGATGTGTCTCAGCTCCTACGAGCGTCACATAATTTGAGTACTCCGGCAAAAGCATTTCTTTTTTCTTAGTTTTTCGAACAAAATTTAAGGGCTTAGCTGGGAATAAAAGCTGCTAGCTCGCGCCGAGCTTTGCGAACTGCCGGGGCGGGCAGCGGAACGCAAAAACATTTTCAGCACGCGGGTTCAGTTGAAAAATGCGCAAATGCAACTCGCTAATGGCTGCGAATATTTTATGTGCGCTTATCATTCGCATTAGCTAGAAAATTGTTGCTAAAAGCTTACCGTGAGCCAGGGGAGTGCTGCGCTGCTTTCTGCCATGGCGTTAAACTGGGTCCGGAAATTGCGTTACTCATACGCACCGTGGCGCCGCTCGATGCATTATCTTAATTTAAAAGCGCGTTCCAAACAGAGGAGCACTGCATTGGACAGGCTGGCAGTCTGGCTGGCAGGCAGGCAGGTAACTCATGAGCCATGTTTTAGTTTTATTAACTTGGCTGAAAACTCATTTATCAAGCTGTCAGCGGCAATTATTTATGCTCCCGCCGCTCCTGGACTAAGCGCGCAGTGCTGTTCATGTACAGGCGCAACGCAGACAATTATAGAAAATTATCAGCAACAACAAAAGCCTCTCAATTTTCACTGTGACTGTGCCTTAAACTTAAAACAACAATCAATTGAACATAAATGCGTAACAAAATCGAATTAATGGCCAACCTTTGCGAGCCGATAACTTCGCGACTCGCAAGTCGCGAACCATTTAAAGTTTTAATCTCTTGGCGTGCCCTTTGCCTTCGAGCTTACTGATTTTTTCGTGGACTGCCGTCGGGCCATTAGTCCGGCAATTAGGCCAAGGCAGCGCGGGCAACACGTGCACCCAATTGTATATTGACAATCTCCGTTGAGTAGCAGAGGGCATACGGACTAGATTGGGCAAACAACGTGCTGCCCATCCGGCCAACACGGCCTGCATGTGCTTGTTCATGTCACAAGCGCTTCGAAGCACACAACATAGCAAATTAACTGCTTAGCCGGACACGGAAGCAACCACTTCTGTTATCAAGGCAAGGAAATTAGCAAAGCAATTTTGAGTTCTGGAAATGTTACAAACATAAAGTATTAATAAACAAAATTGAAACACAAGTCGTCAATGAATTTTACAAATTGACGTGAATCTATCTCATTTTCCAACATCTTTGTAAAATAGCTTTTTGAAATGTGACTCACCGTTGGGTGTAGATGGACATTCGATGAATCCTATGATTATTCTCTTGCCCCCTTCGCTGTCTTTTATACCTATTTTATGCCCTTTCTACTTCCTGCAAGTGGGCAAAACGTTGGTCAAAGTTTCCATGAAAAGCCTCAAAGAAACAATTTGTGTTCTGCAAACGTGATGACCTGACCTAAGGCTATATGGCGTAGTCAGACTGACAAACGAGAAGTTGTCGGTTCAAATTTGGCAATTGTCATTTGTTTATTTAAGAACTGCAAAGAAAGGGTAAATGGCCGAAGAAACGTTGTCCACTGAGCACGAATTTTAGGGTTCACAGCTGCATATTTTATACTAGACATTTTTTTTTAAAACCCTTGCATACAATATAATAATCTTGTTTTAAAATGTGTGACTTTTATTCTTTTTATCAAGTTGACGCGAATTACACAAATTATTTCGGTGAATATTGCATTTCCATATTATTCATTTGACTTCGACGACGACAGATATTTTTTGTCTATATAAAATAATTATCGGCTCTTTGTGCAGAACCGGGCTCAGATTTCAGCGGACATCATATTTTATATGTGTATATATTTGAAGTTGGCGCGAGTTACACAGAGAATTTCAGTAAAATATGATTTAAGCACAATTAATTTGACCGTGGGAATCGCAGCTGTTGCTTGTGTTGTTTTTTTAATACGTCGCGACGGGAAATGCTAGTTCTTTCATATTTTGTTGTATTTATCGAAAAAAAAAAATGCATTTTTTCATATCTAGCGAAGTGTTAGCACAAAGTCAAAAGTTTTAAAGTACTGCAAACATATTTTTAAAATGTAATAATGGAAATATTTTTATGAATATTGTTTTTTAATATGATTCGGATCAGGTCTCGGTTCGCCTTTTTTTTTGCAACGAAAGTTTGTTGAGTCGTAAATACAAAGTGTTTATAATGGACTCGAATCGATTTGGAGCGTAATCGCTTTGATGCCTCCATAAAAGTGTTTATTTAATCTATATGTATCTGATAGACAGCGAGAAGTAGTTTTTCAGGACATGTCTACCTTTTCGGCATTACCCTTTATCAAATCAACGATGATTCTATGTTATTATCGATCTGGGTTTTCTTTTTTTGAATGAGCTTGTTTTGTTTTTCGTTTACTTTCTTGATCCCAGCCACATTTCCATTATTAAAGACTGGATACGAAGAATGCCATTGGCAGTTGTCATAAAATTTATGCGCCTAATTACTTGCCGTTTTCTGTTCAACTTTTGACGGGGCCAACGACATCATTTATTATTTTTATATACGCAACAACAAGCGTTTTATTGACACCACCGACGGGCGATTTAAGGCTTGCGGGTGGGCGGGCATGGTTGTGGGGCGATAGTCAATAAGGCAGCAACAACTCAATGGACTCTGCCAAAAAATGCCATTAATCTTCAGACGAAGTTGTGCAGCTAATTGCGCCGCATTCGGTTGTCTGAGCCGGCACAGGGTCATTTGCCTCGGGGCGCGCTGTCAAAGAAAATACTTAAAAATGTTCACCCCATATCTATGGCTCGAACCATGCCTGGCCGGCTGCACAATCATAAAAGGACCTTGCCGGCCGTGTTCCGCGAAACCAGGACGAGAGAGGGGACTGTGTGGCCAGGTATAATGTACAGACTTATTTATGTGGCGCGGCAGTCAGAAAACGCTGAAATTTGCCTACATATTACACTTAAAAAATTTTTAATTAGCTGCCCCGACAACATAACAAAGCAAAACAAAGCCACAAGGCCCCCAACAAAAGCGACGTTGCACAAAACGCGTTGTGTGCGCCGCGGCTTGTGGGGGCGGGTGTGGGTGTGGGTGTGGGCGTGGGCGTGGACATGCGATGACGAGGCATGGCGACGCAGTGTGTCCAGTGCAGAATGAAGGCAAACATCAAAAACTGGACCTGGAAATGAAGCTGGCCACAGCGCTATCAAATCTGCGCCAGTTACGAACAGTTGC